TGTATCCCTTGCTCCTCACCGAGACATTTGTTTTGATCTCATGTTGGATGGCACAAGGTTACGTTACACCATATATCTTCTAATTATCTGAATGTGTAATGCAGTGAGATTAAAGAAAGGATCAAGAAGACGAAGGATGAGAAGAAAGCGAAGAAGGCCGAAGTAATGGCCAAGGCACAAAAAGCACAAGGGAAAGGAAATGTTCTCAAGGGTGCTGCCCCTAAAGGTCCTAAACTTGGGGGAGGTGGTGGAAAGCGCTGAACCGTCTTTTGTCTGTTTTTTTCTATAGAGATTTTGGTGCATTTAGTTGCCCTCTTTGGCCATTTTCATCTGAGTCTAATACTCTAATACTTTAATTGATACTATTTCTTTTAATGTAACTTGAGAAGACAAAGGAGGTGAATGTTTTCATTTAATTTCTTTTCCATTTTTCTCCGTAGTTCCAAAGGTTGAGATTTAGTATATTTTAACAATTTAACAATATATATCATTATATTAAATATAAATAAATTTAATCTGTATCGAAATAAATATTATAACAATATTATTTAACATAATCTGCAATTCGCAAGTTGACTCGCAAACTTCAAGGTCTCGTGTCTGGAATGATGGAGGAGCTCTTGATGAAAATAGAAATATAAATGAACGTGGAGATAAATATGAAGATGAGTTTTAAAAAGATATTTGATATGATGAGTAAATCTAATTTAATTTTTAAATTCAACTACTATGCATACTTAAAATATTTTAATATTAAAGTACCCTCCAAAATTATTTTAAAAAAGAATTCCATCAAATCATGGCTTACCACCATCGGCTCACTGGAAAAGAGGAGAACGGAGAAGACAATGAAGAATAGGGGATCGAAGAGGCATAATGATCTTAGAAAGTTGTTATTGAGGATATAATAGTCATTTAGACATCAATTCCATATAAATATGAAAATTCCATGCTCCTCTCCGGAGACGTCAATTCCATCGTTTTTAATGAAATTGGATTATTTATGACAGTCTAATTCATTCATATCAAAACATCTCAAAAGTATGAATTTAATTCCAATTCCATCTTAATCCCAGTTCAAAGTAGTTGTGTAATAGCCATTTAAATATCAATTTATAAATCTGATAATTCCAGCATACCAAACGGACTTTCAGAACTTTCCTATCATTAAAAATAAATAAAAAATTTATGAACTTTTCTTTTACCTATTTCTTCTATTACTTTAATATTTGATACTTGATGCTCTTCCTAATAAAATGACATAGAACAGAAAAGCAATAGATGGATGAACTTTTATTTGTTTTTAATCTAAAATCTGCAGCAGATTTGATACTAATCCGCAAAGCTTTCCGCTTCCCCACGGAAAAGAGGGAATTAATTCAAAATCTTAACTCTAAATCTAAAATCTAAGATCCAAAAGAAATTCAAACAAACCAACGAAATATTCAAATAATACAAAACCAGCCCTAAATTCCCTTGAAAAAAGGGGAAAATCAGATAATAGATCCATACACCGCCCTTAGCCCTATGTCCAGATTTTTTTTTGTTTTATGGGCCCGATTTAGCCCAATGTCCGCTTCTATTTCTGTTTTATGGGCCCGACTTAGCCCAATGTGAATTTCGCATTCTATCTGTGATATAACCCTCTGATATAACCCTATCGTCCGCGACGTTCATATTGTAGGGTTTCTCGCAGCAACAGGCGAAGACAGGGCAATCTCCAGCAGCCGCTATGGTTCTCAAGTAAGTTCCAATTTTCCCTTGCTTTTCTTATCTCATCTCTCGGATATGTGTGCGCGCTATGCATAATCAGGAGATTTTGCTGAACCATGATCTCTAGGAATACTGTTATCTGAAATTCTTCTCGCGTTTTTCGTCCCTCGTTTTGAAACTTTTTATAGAAAAATAGATTCCAGATGAACTCATTTCTGAAACTTAGTGCAATACTCTCGATCGAGCATTATGGAAAATGTATAGTCATGTGTGAACATGCTCGTATTTACTTGGGATACAAAACATCTTTTCTTAGAAACACTGGAAATGAAAAATTGAATTATCGACCACTTCTTTCCCTTTGAAAAATTAGTCTGTTAAAAGATTAGTTCTCAACATTTAGAAAATTTTGATCCATCCAGCTGGATCCATTGCAAATTCCTGTGTTTTCTGTTTTCCCAAGCTACGAGCAGGTCCATACGCAATAGGCATTGAAGAGATGACAATAATTACTTCACTTGCCAATCATGCCTCTCTGGTGTTTTGATAATAAAAAAAAAGTTCGTGCTTTGAACTGTGATTGTTGTGGTTATTATCTGTTTATCCGTGATGAGTTGATTTTGATTGAACGGTACTGCTATTATTGCACAACTCAGTATTACTTGCCGAGTATAATTGCAAACCAAGCATCATTTTATTTTATTTTTCCCATCATAATAAAAACATGCAATCATTTTTCTGATTATTGTAACTGGTATTTGATGTTGGCTTATCAGGACGGAGCTCTGTCGATTTAGTGGGGGCAAGATCTACCCTGGGAAAGGCATCAGATTCGTTCGATCTGATTCTCAGGTGACTTCAGTAGGATCAATCTTCCATTTTCAGGGCTCATATGATGACCTATTGTTCACTAAATGGGTTCCTTTATATTTTTATCAGGTCTTCTGTTTGCCAATTCAAAATGCAAAAGGTACTTCCACAACAGGTTGAAGCCGTCAAAGCTCACCTGGACTGCCATGTACAGGAAACAGCATAAGAAGGTATTGCTATCATCAAAATTACCGTTACTCTTACTCAACCTTTTAACTTATATCAATCCCACGTATTAAATTTCCTTGATTCTAAAAGAATTCAAAATATCTAAATAAAACATGTATAAATCTAAGATCATAAAAAATTATTGGTTTCTACATAGGTGACTTCTTGCTTGTGTTGAATGTTTACTGCACTGAGAAATCAGAATTAAGCACATAAACGAAATGTGTGTATTTGCTTATTGTATTGTGAAACTGTTTGAAATGTCTGATCTCTCATTGATCAAATGCATGATTCTTGTTTGTGCATGTGGTGTGTGCAGGACATTGCCCAAGAAGCTGTGAAGAAGAGGCGTCGCGCCACCAAAAAGCCGTACTCAAGGTCTATTGTCGGTGCTACTCTGGAAGTGATCCAGAAGAAGAGAACCGAGAAACCAGAGGTCAGAGATGCTGCCAGAGAAGCTGCCCTTCGGTGTGTATCCCTTGCTCCTCACTGAGACTTTTGTTTTCATTGGATGGCATAAAGTTACGTTGCCATATATCTTCTAATTATCTGAATGTGTAATGCAGTGAGATTAAAGAAAGAATCAAGAAGACAAAGGACGAGAAGAAAGCGAAGAAGGCCGAAGTGATGGCCAAGGCACAAAAAGCACAAGGGAAAGGAAATGTTCCCAAGGGTGCTGCCCCTAAAGGTCCCAAGCTTGGGGGAGGTGGTGGAAAGCGCTAATTTTTTTTTTGTCTGTTTCTTTTTTTCTTTTTTGGCTGCCACTTGGAGGATTTTGAGACATATTTGATGTTATATTTCATTGAGTTTAATTTGAATGGAGCTTATGTGGATTTTTATAATAGATGCTCATTATGGTAATTGTGAAGTAGCTTTTGTTCAATATGAATTACTGAACAACGCAGGGCGGCGTATCTAACAAGATAATTTTTCTAATTATATGGTACTCAATATTTTTCTGATCCTTCGATAAAAATATTCATTCCCGTTGTAAAAACTGACAGGTAGAGTGAATAAAGATTTCTTTTCAACAAATTTTTTGAATAAGAAAAAGGTAAATTATTGTAACACATGTTAATGTACATTTAAAGCTCGTAGCTCCCCACAATATTTGTTAGGCACATTTATTTGTCATTTTTTGCCATTTTCATCTATCACTTTAATGCTCGATTGACACTGTTTCTTATGATATAACTTGAGAAGACAGGGGAGATAAATGTCTTCATTTCGTTTCTTCTCTGCTTTCCTCCATTTACTATTTTCGAATTAACAAATTATATTCTTGAAAATTCATAATACCTGATTGGTTTAAAAATGGGTTGCGTATAATATTATAAGATTTGAATATATTTAATTAATGAGATTTGAATAATGTTTTGATTAGAATTTTGATATATTGAGTTAAATAAGAAATATCATTATTAAATGAATTTTTAATTGGAAGCTCAAATGAAGAAACTAATAATTAATTTTTAATTTGAATAATATCTTAATTGAGATTTGAATATATTGAATTAACTAGAAAGTATTGTAATTAAATAGTATATTAATTGAGGGCCTAAATAGATAAATAAATAAATAATTTTAGATTTTCATTTTTTTTAAAATTTCGCATATCTAATTCAAATCTCATTTGAATGAATAAGAAAATCATAGTTGTATAAGAAGTGAACAATAATTAGAATTTAAAATCTAATCAAATATTCTAGTCCATGATTTAGTTAATATTTCTAGTTAATATTCAAAGGTTGATTTAGTATATTACAACAATATATATTACTATATTAAATAATAAATATATAAAATAAATTTAACCTATATATAAATAAATATTATAATAATATTATAATATTATCATAATTACACCGTAGATGATGATAAATTAAAAAAATAAAAAATAAATGATATATGCATACTAATTTTGAACTGCTTAAATATATATTTGCTGCTTAATATTATAATAATACTAATATAATATATTAAATCTGCCAGAAGATGATAGGCGTTTGAATTTTACAAATTGGAAGTGACATTAGATCTCATGTATTTGCATGAAGCTCTAAACAGGACCCGATGTTCATAATTTGTGAACAGTGCACTTCTCCAATTTATTTTTTTAAAATTTTAAATTGATTGATACTGATATTAAGTATTCTATAAAAGAAGTAATTATTCAACACAACCGTTTACCAGAGTTTTTCTGCATTTTACAATAACCAGACCAATTTATTTTTCAGTCTGCATTTCCATGACTATCAAGTTTCAGTGCAAATGAATAAATGAAATACCATGTCATACATAATAATTAATTTTGCTTCTGCATAATACAAACAAGTAGACTAAATTAACCCACAACCGTTTTAACAAACACAATATCAGTGCAGCAGACACAGCTACAGATTGTAAACACCATTGAGTACGCTGAACAATTATGTGAAACAAACCCACAGAGCTTAGCAGGAAGTAAGAACTACAAAATGCCTTTCTGGGGTTTCAGTTTCCAATGAACAACCCTAATTCCCTTATTGCCTGAAGCTTCTTCCTCTGCCTTCACAGGAGTTGCACAACAAGTTAGTTGTTCTAGTGTCATTGCAAAACTGGTTTTCTCCTGCTGATCTTGCTACTCTGCTGCCTCTGCTTAATGATAAAGACGATAGTGCAAGTTTCTCACCTCCAATCTTCACCTGCACACTAGCAAAGAAAAGAGAAACTTGTTGTTTACTGGGTCTATGTCATATTGGGTCCTTATCAGTTTAGTATTTCATTAAACAGATTATGCTTTCAGATACTAAGGTGATGTAAAATAGGTCTTCATTATTAGAGAAAGGAGGGAAGTTCCATGTTTTACCTCATCTACAAGCTTGAATAGGTCTTGGATGTGCAAAGGATGATTTGTTTCTCATGTGAGTTTCACATTTGGGTATTGGTGTTACTGATTCAAAAGCTTCCACTAGCAGTGCCACCTTCCTCTTCCTAGCAGGAGCAAGTTTTGTGACAGTTTGTCTCAGAGCATAATCAAGCATCCATTCCTCTGCATTTTTCCTCTCATCCATCATCTGGTGCTTCAGATCAACCTTTTCTGCTTCTGGATCTGGAACCAAAGGCAGGAAATTTGGCTCCCGAGGGTTGAACTTCCTCATTTCATCCTCCTCTTGAACCGCTCTCTTGCGCCTCTCAGCCCCTTTCCAATTATTGCTTGGGCCCTTCTCTTCGCCACCTGTGCTGCTTGAGCTCTCTAAGTTATCTTCTTCACTAATATCTTGGCTTGAGTTCTCTTTTTCACTGACCTTATCAGCCTCACAAGATTCACTCACCTTCTGGCCTTGGCTACTTTCAACCTCTGAAGATTCACAACCATCCTGAGAGGCATCAGAAACATAATTTCCAACTGTTTCTTCCTTGAAATCCTCATTATCTTCCTTTTCCATTTTATCATTAGTCTCAGCCATAAGTGGTTCTTCCACCGGGGTAAAATGATTGTCAGCAACATCTTCCTCAGTCTCAAACTGATTTAATTCATAGCATTCCTGTGAAGCATCTGAAATTAGGTCAGCCTGTGACATACTCAAATCATCTTGTTGGAGAGGCGTGTTTTCCTGTTCATCTAAGGTATTGGTATGTACTGTAGTGATGCAATCTGCCCCATCGTTCTCCAGTTCCAGAACTTCATTGTTCGTCAAATTCTCTGCCTCTGAAACATCATTGTTTTCCAGAATCTGCTCACCTGTTTCTTCCTGTTCTCCAAATGTCTTTGAGAAATTTGAAGAGTGAACTGTGGCATCCATGACTGTTTCATTTTCTCCGCTATTTCCTTCTTGAGTCTCCAAGCTTTCATTTGTCCTTTCCATGCCACAATGGATCCCATAATGTTGTGATTCAAAATAGATAATTTCTTTGGCTTTAGATTCTTGGGAAACTTCAGCTACAACGTTTTCATAGTAGATGTTAATGATGTCATCTAACCACATCACAGAAACATCATGTGAACTCTCAGATGATGATTCAACTTTTGAGTCATTCTCCTCTGTGAGAACTGAAGAATCAGCATCATCCTCTTCATGCTCCCACTCCATATCAGTAGCTACAGAATTAGAACCATCCACTTCCCCCTCACTACTGTAACTTCCAATGCTTATTTCTTCACCAGACCAGATAGGTAAATGCTTTTCATCTGCAAATTCGGCTACTTGTTTTTGAATGAAGCTCCCCTTCGAATCTGCTTTGATTTTAGCATCATCGAAGTACTTTCCATAAGCTTCCTCAGAATCTATCTCAGACTTCGGAGATCCATCAGACAAGCTTGCAACAACTTGCTTCATATCATCATCCGTTGTGGACTTGATGTTCTCTTCACCCCCAAACCTCTTGGTGGAGCCCATTTGTCCGATTTCTTCTTCATCCCCATTTTTCTTAGCATAGATTTCGATGAAGAAATCCATGTCAGCTTCAGATTCCTTCTTTGGCTCACAGGGTACCTTCAACTTCCGAGGACTTAAGGCTTCCAGCTTCATACTCTTCTGGGTCTTCATAATACGTCTCCTTGCAGACAAGAAGATCTTCAATGGAGGCAAAGGAGCATGACGATGACCATTCAGAGAACAATAGGTGTATGGGCAAACCTTCCTAACTGAAGTCCCTTCAGACTCAGTAGCCCCAGGATTAAGCATGAGGTAAGGAGGAAACTTTGAGTCCTTCAAAGTTGAAGAACAGGTAGCTCTCTGAGCATTCAAATCAGCACAAAGAGAAACTCTAGAGGATTTCTTAAAACTTGGAGTCTTCGTTAAGGTCCTCACAAGTTTCAAACTAGGTGATGATTTTGTCAAAGCTTTTGCAGGTTTCTTAGCAGAAACAGAGCTAGACTTTGAGTTACATTTAGAGTTTCGAAGACTCACAGGAAAAAGCTCCTTCTTGGCATCCGAACTGCTTGTGGGCTTCATGTAATTGGGAGACCCATCACTTTTTCTGATCAAAGGTGTCTGCTTCTGTGGGGAAGACGATGATACAGTAGGATGAACTTGAACAAAAGGAGGAGGCTTTCCTGGCTGAGAGAAGCTCTTCTTTGGAGGTGTTGATTTGAGAATATCCATGTCAGAGAGCTTAATTGACCTGGACTTCTTCATTTTCTTCTTCATATCAGCCCCTCCTCTGGTTTTGCCATCTTGGCTCAAGTTTGCCAAGCGCTTATCAGATTTAACATGGTGATCTGCTTGAACGCCAAGCTTGCTGGGTACCTTCCTTTGAACCATATTCAAAGGAAGCTAAAGTCAAAAACTGTGTTCCTTCCTCTGATTTGTGGAGTTCAATCACAGGAAGAAACGCAACCTTGTGGTAGCTTTAGTTTTCCTCATATGGAGGAAGATTGCATTGAAAAGGAAAAAAGGAGGAGAAGAAGAAGAAGAGGAAGAAGGAAAGCTTGAGTCCCAAACAACCAGAGAGATTCCTCTCTATCTCTCCCTTGGTTTGGTTTGGTTTGGTTTAGTGTGGAGTGGGTTTCTTACTTTTTGTCTATTTTCAACTGTGGTGCTCAGCAGATGATGAACTTTTATTTATTTATTTATTTATTTTTATTGAATAAGGCTGAGTTTAGCATTTGATGGTGATGCGGACCAGCACTTGCAGGTGGTTTTTGGGACCCTTTTTCTGGAGAAAATTATTAAGGGCTCACATGATATAAATATATATATATATATATATATATATATAACATAAAGTATCTTTAAAATATAATTATTTTTAAATTTATATTTATCCTTAGTTTTTTGGAAAAATTATAAAGTTATGATAAATTTTTAAAATTATTCATAAATTTAATGACAAATCTAATCTCTAGAAGGAATTAAAAACATAAAATGACCACTTCAGATTTTTTTGGTTTAAATTTATTGTGTTTTTTTAGCATTTTTGGGCAGAAGAGAATTATTAGTTTATACGAGATGGGAATTAATCATAGGCTCAGTGCGTGGCTTGTTTCTTATATTGAAAGCATAAAATTTGAGATGATTTGATTCCCCAACTCATCCCCTATCAAAATGACCAAACTACCCTCCTCCTTGATTTGGATAATAAGCAAGACACAGCTTCTATTGCCGAAATTCCAATGCTTCCAATATTATGTTTATTTTAAATCAATTTACATAATATTAATAATAAATAGCTAGGTTGTTTGGCTGTTTTAGTTGGGGAAGTAGAAGTTGAAGGTTTGTGGATAGGTTGGTTTAGAAATGAGAGATGAAGACTTGAATGTTCATAAATTGACTTGAATAAGCTTTTCATTGTCAATCAAGTTTTTTGGATGATGTTTCATTATCAGGTATTATGGGTATTCAAAGTTGATGAACTAATTTGATTGGGTCGGCATAAATTGAATCAAATCTATTAAAGAGTAAAGTTAAAATTGATTTTTCATGTATTAAAACCCATTTAATTGACTTGATTTGTTCTAACTAGTTTGCAAACCTTTCTTTAAAAAGATGCTTTAAGAATATAACGTTTTTACAGAAATTTCAGGCATTAAAACTAACTTAATTGATTTGATTGTGGATCTAACCAATTTGTGAACTTTTCTTTCTCGTTGTTTAAAAAAAAAAAAAAGATGACTATAAATCTTTTACAAATTCTTTTGCCAACGTATTTTTTAAACAAACAATTTTTTAAAAAAACAAATATCTAAAAAGGACTAAAAAAATAGGTAAATTAAAAGAAATGAGTGAGAAACCATTGAAGGTATTGATTAAGTGAAAATTGTAAATCTCTCCTTAGCAAGGGTTTGCTTAACCATTTTGAAATTATTTCAACCTATGCTTACAATCTAATCCTTTAAAATTGAAATACTATCCTGCTTATATTTATTTATTAGTTACTTCTAATATGTTTTATTAGAATTAAGAAAAATATTAATTTTTATTAATTGTGTTTTAAAATTTAACAACTTTTTTTAATTTTATCCCTATTGAATCTATATACTTGCCAACAAAATATAATCAATGCAATAATAATTAAAAGATAAAATAGTATGTTTATGTTAAAAATTTAATGATGTGACATATAAATGTGATTTAAAAATATTTTTCTTCATTTTATAAATGGGACTAAAGGAACAATATAAATCAATGATCTCTTTAAAAAATAATTAACCAAAACTTAAAACTAAATAAATCATTTGTCTTATAAAAATCAATGAAATGAGACGGATGTGAGATTTCAATTTATAAATAAATTTAATTAAACACATGATCATGACTGATGGCTACATGTTTTTTTTCAATAAATCTTAGGAGAGAAGCACAAGTAACAAAACAATCTATAAAGGATGGGATTTCATGGGAGAGAGGCCATATTTAAGGAAGACAAGGCTAATATTGTGATTTCACGTTAGAAAACAGAACCGTTTGGATTCACAATTGAGAGAGATGCATATACGTTTGTAACTTTGAATATATTAACAAACGTGTGCGGATGGATGAGACTTGGGAGGTGAGAGAGGGAGAGGGAGGGAGAGGGCGGTCCCTTTACAAAGTAGTGAGAGGATAAGGACAAAAGCCACTGGTCGGCAAACATGGGCTGATGGTGGGCCCTACCTTGGGCCTTGAGTCCACAGACGCTCCTCTTAAAGTTTCAAAAAAAGACAGAGAGGGGAAAAATCATTCATAAAGTTACCTTAAAAAAGATCATAAAGTAGCCTTAAAATGGAAAATAAAAAAATTGCCTTGGACTAAGGATCCCCCACCCTTAAGACAGCTCTTATGAACTAGTTGCAAAATTATTCGTTAAAATTTATTGGCCTTAGATTAACTGAGGATCTCTTTCAATAAAGATGACAAGGGTTTTTCATCATTGGGATGAGATTCAAATCGTTTAGATTTAGTATGGACTGGTTAAAGATTTTAATATGTGATTTTTCAAATAATAAATTTATCTCTTTTTTGAAAAATAACAATCATAAGATTACTTTCATTTTAAATTCTACGTTTGTTAAAATAAAAAAATTTATTTAAAATATAATAATTAGATTAGGTATGTACCGTTCAAAGTCAATTCAAATGGTTTAGATGGAAGATGAGCTAAGTCATGAGTATGAAATATGCTTCCAATGACAATAGGAAATTTAATTCGTAATTTCTAAGTGGTAAATTTATTTTGTTTTCTTTTGAAAGAGGGCCATAATGATAAGATTATTTTCACTTTAGATATTACACTTGTTAAAATAAAAGGTTACTTTGCATAATGGATGGATAAGTTTGATAGATCTCAATAATTACTCGAACAATTATGATGAGATTTTAAAGAAAAAATAATTACAAAATAAGTCTCGGAAGTTCTCGTTCTCTATTATAGGCTGCTTAGATTGTTATTGAGATTATTTAGTAATTAGTTTTCTTTTTTGAGACTTAATTATAATTCTCTCTGATTTATCCTTGCCCATGTGGACAAAACTTAATTTTGTTCTTGCACGAGTCATCCAAGTTTCAATTCTCCCTTTTTAAAATAGTTTTGGTTTATTTTATGTTGAAACTTTGTTATTACGGGGCAATTCAATATTATGGAAAATTGTTAGGATAATATTAAAAAAGAATGTGAGAATTACGTTAGAAGCAAAAGATATTTAAGTCCGCTGAAATAAAGTTTAATAAAGTTTTAGGGTCGTACCTTGACGATTGTCTTTGGACAAACACCACCGACCCAAGCGTACTTTAAGGGCAATAAAATGAGAAGATAGACCAGCTGAGCACGAAATCTTAAATATTAAGCGAACAATATATATATATATATATATATTGAAATAATAAGGTCAATGAAGCTTTTGAAAATTATTTAGAATTTTTTTCAAAAATGCTAATTTTGGGATGAACATTGTGGAGGTCTGACTTGATGTTGTCTAAAGGGGAAAATGGGAAAATTTAAGAGGAAAAAACATACAATAAAAAAAGGGGCTGGGCACTGCACCTATCAAGACAGTGGATCAAAAGTCAATGAATTAAACCGAGATCAAATTGACCGTATTAAAATAATAAAATTTAATTGATAATAATAAAATACAATAACATTCATAAATAATAATCACCCGATAAAATATAAAAAATTACTAAAGTAATTTAAATGTTTAATTGTACCAAACCAACATTAATAGAGAGTGTTGAGATATTATATATTTGATTCTATATATAATTATGTATTATATAATGTTTGATTATGTTAAATTAGTTGAAATCATATATATTAATCGGTTAAAACTCAAAATATTATATCTGATTTTATTTATTTGTGTGTACATAATATTTTTAATTAAAACATATAAAACATTTATATTTGATTATAAAAGTAATATTTAATCTCATTTAGTATACACAATGTAGCGTTCGCTGCAGCAAAGAATCTAAAACGTGGCGTTTCAGTTAGGTACCATTGCCGTGGCAAAGAGTCATACTGGCCACAGCGAATAGTCAAAATTTTTAAATGAAGTTTAGGGATTCATGCTGTCACTTTTGTTATTTTATTAAGAGTAAGAGTTTTGCTTTGTTAGGGTTCCTTAAGGTAACTCTTAGAGAAGTTTGTGAGGTTTGGGAGTAATGATAAGCCATCCTAATTCCTTTGTGTATGTTTTCCTACTCTACTCCTCCTCATTCTCTTTCCCTAACTAGGGTATTGCTCTCTCTATGATGAACCCTGAGCAATTCTCTAACTCTTTGATGCAATTTGACTTAGAGTAACGATAGATGTTCACGAGAACATCAAAGTGTGTTTTGGGTGATTCTTGCAACTGCTTAGAGAATCCAAGTAACAAAAACTCTTTCCTATTTATCCTACTAGTTTCTCTGAGGAGTCGTTAACTTAGGCATAACTCATAAGGTAAACTGTAAACAAACTACAATAAGAAAAATAAATGAAAAAACTGTTAAAATCATCTATAGTATCTGGTGAATAATTGGTACGGTGAACTATCTCAAAAATAATGGAGTTTATGAGATTCTAAGATTGAATAGAAGCCCTAAACATAGGATTTCTGAACTTTTCTTTCATTAGTTGCGATTTATGAGTGTCGTCATGGTGAAGAATTGTATTGTCATAACGAGGTACTATCTCACTTCAGCAACAAGTACTATCATAATAAAAGGTCTTTCTAAAAAATCTACTCATATCCCTTCTATCTAGAAGGAGATACTAAAAAGAAGAAAAAAAAAAAGGAAAAGAAAAAGAAGGGGAGTAAATTGGATTATTTGCAGTAAAAGGATAATTGATTGTAATTTTTTCCAAAATTCAGAAGGGGCAGAGATGTGGCATAGGCGCATAGCATTGATGAAATGGGGCCCTCAGCTGTAATATTTACCTAAAATGAAAAAAGAAGAAAGTTGAACTAGTTCACCCTCTCAGCCAGTCTAAACGAGTTTCAAAAATGCAGCATATGAGTAGCATCTGGGCAATTTGTTTTACTATTTATAGTATTTCGATAAAAATGTCACCAATGATCT